TTTAATTTTTTGATTATGTACCGAGCACTTTGCTTACTCACTCGTTTCGTCGAACTGCTTGAATTAATTATTTCTTTTGATCAAATCGGTGTGAGAAACTATGATGCTATAAAATGTTGTTTCGGAAGAGTTGAATATCCGGGAAAGTTGAGTTATTGAATGTTATTGCACCCAACAACGCCCTAATTACGCTCTCTTTTACGCGATAACATTTTTTCGGCAATTTTATTAACATTATGACAAAACCACGATTTCGATATTATACAGGCCCGGCAATGGATCTCTAAGCATAGGAATTACATGCATTGGAATGAAACGCCTATAAAAAGTCTATGCTTAAACAGAGATGGACAACAACTTCCCCGTTTCCACTTCCACTACGACTGTCTACTTAGACAAACTCCAATAAGATAACAAATTTTGGAAATTCCGCCACCTCCCATCCACCACATGATACCCATCTCCCCGCCCTTTATTTATCGCCATTATTTTATTTCCCTTCCCGCGCCTCCGCACCTCGCTATTCTGACTCCCGTCAGTTCATCACAGAGTTGCCAGGTCTACCGGTTTCGTCTGTAAGCTACCGATCTACCGATTTAAAGAAAAATCTAACGATATATTCAACTGCGTCTTTAGTTTTTACAATAGAAGCACTTATAAAAAGCTGACTTATTTGACTAAAAATTAAGCGACTGCCGTGTTGGAATCTGTATAATTTGACTTTATTATTGTTTCATTAAATTTTATTTAGTAATAACACACATACAGGTCATCGTTCTGTCTAGTTGCAGAGTTACAGAGATATTCCTAAAAATCCTTATTACTCCTTATTACTCCTTATTAGGCGCGGTATTGGCGACATGCCCGAAGAAGTTGATATCTTTTGAAAAGATTTTATTTCATTCATCTACTAAAGTTGAACCCATATTTTCCCCAAAAAATGTAAACAAAAAACAAAATTTAAGTTAAGAAACAACCTAAATTCGGACAAATATTTTAGTGATTTTCCCGTCAAAAAAATATATTATATGAAAAAAGAGTTGAGAGTTGCTACAGCTTTCCCATTGAAATGAAATTAATTTTAGATATCACTGATCAAAATTTGTACAAAGGTAAAAGTGACTGCTACACACTAATTTGTGACCTGCTATCCCTACTTATTATAGTTTTATATGTTTTTATTAATATATTAATATTATTTAATTCAATATTTTTTAATATCAAATAATATACCTAGCTATTTCTAATTTTTGTTATATTTATTATATTTGTATTTTATTTAAGTGATCTATTATTACGACACATAGGAATGCTAATTTTGGAGTTAAATATTATATTTTATTTCGTTTCTGTACTTTTTTTTTTGTTGAAGATCTACCGAGAATTTTGTTCTCGTATGGAATTATAATCTAACAAACCCGGCAACCCTGTTCGTCTACTCCTTATAAAGTTTTTTTCGGCCTAATTCCTTTGTCACAGCCGCGGCTTTGTGAAGCGCCGCCGCCGACCGACTGTGTCGGGGCGACTGCTAGGAAGATCGTACAGTATTGCCATTTCATAAAATTGCACATGCTATTTTAGAAATGATAACAAAGTTTTGCATGTTACTTTTCGTTTTAGAAAGAAGTTATGTGCCTAGAAAAAACATTCGTAAAATTGTTTCGTACTTCATTTAATATTTCATTAAGTAGGCAAGATAATGGGATTAGAAGATTTAGGATTTTGACAAGCCAACATAATTTCGATTTAATTGAATGGCAACACTGTCCGTCCTGTTTCTATTTTTTTCGATTCTGTTCTATTAGTAGGCGGTAGCCCCCACACAAGCGTCTTAAAGACCCGCCCGGCGCCCCCTCTCGCAGGGGCTCTCTCGTCGTATCACTTCTATGATCACTTCCCCTATACGATGGTAAGGAAAAGACACTTTATCCGTCTCTGTTGCACTGCAGTGTATTTTGCAGCCTTACCATCTTTTTTTATCGCATTGAAAACCTCCTATTACCAATATTCCTTTGCCAGCAGTGTATATGTGATCAACATGATGGAGCGGCGCGGCGGCGTGAACTATATATTGATAATTTCAGATTTTTTCCGTTGAAGCGCTGCGGTCGAAAATTGTTGAAATCAACTGAAATGCACCAAGCCTATACGGAAGATGAATAAATGCAACATGTGTACTGTTTTGAAATGGGACAAAATATAATTAATTCAATAAGAAATAAAACTATATATATTTGGTATCAATTAAACTTTTAGTTACGTAATCGAGGGCGCGATTTAAATTCATTGTTGCCAACCATGGACATATTTGACGCCGAGATGACTATACTTGTATTCATTTAAAACTTCCCAATATGGCGGACTTCAGTATGGGAGGCTTAAAACGAAAATCTCTAAACTGGAGTCGACTGTCCTTCAAATCGTTAAAATTCATAATCTGTGGTAAATCCAATTGAACTCTGACACTTGGCTGACATTGACGTTTACCGTTCCTTTTTCTAAATATTTTCATTATTTTTTGAGTTTTTATTCACAAATTCTACTTGATTTTGTTCTTTTATTTAACCTGCAACCTGCAGTACTAATTATATAGTTATAAATAATCTTTTCACCGATCAAGAGTTGACGAATAGGCTGGAAGATATTCAAAATGTGTAAATCGCTTAAAAACGTATTAGAAAACATTGGCTCGTTCATAAATTCGTGAAAATAAATTAGTCCAGATGTTTGTAAAAGGTATTATTATAATTATTTTGAGAAGTTTCCTCGTATCAGTAATTTTCAGGTTTGTAATATCTACTATATGATAATAAATAGATTAAAACTTATATTTCAGGAAACAGCGCGGGCATTACAGATTGTTGTAAATCAGTTTTAAAATATAAAGAAGGTTTAAAACAGGTTTAAAAGTTGAGTTGGTAGAGAAGACCTAAATAAGGTAATGTTGGTAATGGGACCAAACATCAAATAACACTTGAAATATATAATTATGTACAATAATTGTAAGTAGTTTTTATGAATCTGTTTGATATCTATTGCATTGTTTTTATATTTCTTGAAATATTTTTTTACTTTACAGGATACACAAGGAATAATAAAAAATACAATTACTCACTAAAAGCACTTAAGGTTTGTAATAGATGTAGTTAGAATATCAAACACCAAACTAAACCAAAAATTATGTTTTATTTTACTGGTATTCCTCACATTTGAAGGGAAAGTCATTTCATAAATAAGCAGGACATTGTATAGTACACTCTATATTAATAATTGTTTTTTATCCTATACTTGTTAGTTAACGCATCACTTACTCGGTATAAAATTTAGTACAGATTAACCTATAGTTGTGGTTGTGATATATTCTGATGTGTTTCTGGCAATTTAAAATAAGTTAATATTTAAACAAACATTTCTGGATTTCCTGGCAGGAGTGTGGACACAAATTTAATAAAGGTATAATGTGGATAATGTTCTGATTATTACAGTTTGCATGGATGTTTTGGTATGTTGTTATTTTTAATAAAGTATATTTAATGAGTTTTTGAGTATTTCTTTTTCCTTCAGAGGATTGTGTTCTAATCTTTATATATTATAAATTTTCATAAATTATATATACAAAATTTATTACCTTATAATTTTTTGCTAAATACTTTGTAGTTGATACAGTTTAATAGTATATAAAAGAACTATTTAAATAAGATGTTTGAAAATATATAGCTGTTTTTGCACACATCAATTTAATTTGTGATTAACTGTACTGAAAAAAAAAATTAAGAGAAATGGGGTGATTTATCAACTACAACATGAAAAGCATCATCCTATTTCCAAGTCTTCTATTAATTTCACTTATTAAACAACTATAATTATTCAATAATCTTGATAATTCTAGGAACTCTCAGATATCGTCAAAACATGAAAACAAAAATTTACTTCCTATAGTCCTTACGTCCCTTTAACTGAAATATAAGAAACAGGGGAGTTAATATTCTCACTGAGAAAGTTTATGAAATACCTTTAAGTAAAATCTCTTCGGATCTGCGGTAAAATACCTTTATTCTTATTAAATAAATTCAATAATCTATGTTTTTATTTATGACAACCACCTAATAACATAACTTTAACGTCAACTTGACAATCCTGAAAAATATTATTGTTAACCAAAGAGTAAATCAATTTCTGAATTCGCTAACGCCAACTTATTTTTCATTAAAAAAAAATACCAATTTTCGTAACTAGGTAGGCCATATTGAGGAACTTTTAAAAGAATAGCACTATAACTGGAATTTGAAATTCCCGCTGGGGATTCAGGTGGCAGCTTTGATGTAAAAAAGTCAAGTTGCCACATTTATGTCAAGTTGTCATATTTATTTATTTCTTGGCAGTTTCATTCGTTTTGACACTTTATTTTTGCATTACAAGTTTTTGGTTTAAATAAATAGTGTTGTGGTACTTTAAGCTTAAAAATGTTTACTAGCAGACCTTGCAGTCGAACATTGTTCTTTTTAGAACTTCTTTTATTACGGTTGTGTATAGGATAGCTTAATAGCCGTTGCAAAAATTCATCGCAACTTTATTAGAATATTTTGAACAGGAAAACGGTTGTAATGGCCCTTTTTGTCCCTTAAGTGCTGTTAAGAAGATGAGTTTTGTTGATGTAAATAATTACTGTTTATATATTTATAATTAATTTAGTTTTGTTTCCTAAAATATGTCGATTAAAAGAAAAAATGTAAAAGTGGGAAACGCTGTACCTGTCAAGCTTAATCAGGTGACTAAAAGTGTATTTAATATGAACTATATGTTGCAAGGGAAAGTAGCACATAATAAGTTGTAGGGAATTTAAGTCTACAAAATTGTTCAATATTTTATTTAAAAAATTCGAAAAAACAAAATTCAACATTCAACTGAACGAAAAGTTTAGACTCTCTTAAGCGATAAACCTCAAATATTTTCAACTTAAACTGATTTAAAATGAATAAAATATCACATTTAAGCCCTCACTACTCACCAATTTCCAGGTATTTTTGGTGTACTGGATCGTATTCGTCCCACACGATTGTTCTGAACCTGTTCCTCTCCCTCGACGCGGCCAGAACCGGTTCCTGTTTGTGGTGTTCGTTAGGATTCCTGCAAAAAAGGACTTCATTAAACTTTGCTCGGCGAAAAACTCCCGGATAATTAGAATTAAGGTTTTATTAGGTCGACCCGAAGGGTGCGGTTAGGCGTAAACTGGAAGTTTTACTATAATTGCGTTGGTGGTTGTTTAGAAAAGATTATACCGGGTGGGTCTCAAAAGTGGCTCACCCTCTATAACTTTTTTATTTTTTCAGATAAAAAACGAGATTTGGTATGTTGGTATATGACATAAATTAGGATTTATTGACGTATTGAATTGTTTTTGGTCACTTCCTGTTTCACCGGAACTTACTACAACTTTTGATTTTTAAATGGCACCTTCGGTTTTTTACTTTATTCGATAGAAAATGACACTGAATAGAATGACATATCATATGTCAACTTTTAAAATTTTCGCATAAAAACATTGTATTTTAAATTTCAATCAATGGCTGGTAAACTGGCAAACTTGTAGTCATTTTCGGTGAAACAGGAAGTGACCATAAACAATTATTTAATACGTCAATCAATTCTAATTTATATAATATACTAACATATCAAACCTCATTTTTTTAAATAAAAAGGTTACAGGGGTGAGCCACTTTTGAGACGCACCCGGTATAGGGTGTCTTTATTTTCCGTGATTTTAGAACTAGACGTTTTTTTTTAGCTGTCATCAATAGGGTATATAGTAAATTTGTACCGACGACTATCAGTATCTCTACCGTGGGGTTAACAAGGGCACACGGTAGAGTTATCGATCCTCCTCGATACAAATTTGCGATATCTATGACCGATCGATAACTATGACAACAACGATTAACACGTTTTTACGATATAAAAAACCGTCATAACTTACCGATACCGACGATTGTCGATGCCTTGTACAGAATATCGCTCCTGGAAGACTCCATCCGTAACCTGGAATGAGAATTCATCAGCCCGTCTAAGACATTCAAAGACATTTCTCGGGACTTATGATTGAGAAAAATCAGACCTCCTCAATGAACACCTCAGTAGAAGTAAAGCCAAGAAACAATGACAAATGCAGATTCTGTGGGGAAAATAGGAAAACACCAGAACACCCCACCACTGAAATCGCCGAGACGACAATCATTCGTGCCATAAACTTTGGTACGACTGATATCGGAGATGGGAAACAAACCTCTATAAAACCGTCCCAGATACTGGTATATTTGTCAAAGTCCTGAGACTCTATGATGAGTTATAACTCAAGAAAGGGGCACACAATAAATCTATAATACAATCTACAAGTTTAGGATGTTCCCGGATCATCTTTACAAGAGCAAAACAACTTTCTATTGTTATTATTTCGAGAAAAATGCATTTTTCAAATTTTTTTGAATATACTAAAATGGTTAATCCTTATTATTACTTTATTTATTAATCCTTATTATTACTTTATTTATTACTGTCATATTTTAAAAACTGTAATAATCTCAATATATTATATTGAAAGCTATTTACAATAATTTTTTTGGATGTTAAACTTAGGGTGGACAATACATTATTATTTTAAATAAAGCTTTATTCAAATACAAATATTTACCCATATTCAATCTATTGTTTATAACCAACTGAAATGACCACAAATCCGTGATGATTTATTTAGAACAGGAACTGTGATTTATGTTGAATATTATATTTCAATAATATTGTATATTTGTTATATAAATTTGCACATGGCCACAATGCATGCATATTAAAGGATATTCTGGAGCAGAATAATATATACTCTGTCTAACGAAAGAAAATACAGTCACAGTTGTTGTCTGTCATGGACTGTATTTTATACCTAGAACTTCCATCTCACAATTGATACGTAATTTAAAATAACATCGTTGCCAAATGCGCTTCCGTTACGCCATCTTTGGCGTTTGTCGCAGCCATGTCGATATATTTCCCTGACGAGTCAGACGACTTTAAATAATATATCGCTTACAACGAGCACAGTCAAAAGGTAGAATGTTTTCCGTGTCACAATTTTATATCCGTCAATATGAAATATTGGACTGAGCTTCGTTCATGTTACTTTGTATATTACGTTTTATGCCACTGGTATTTGCTCGATACAATTTATTTCAAATGATATCTATATTTTTATGACTGGTTCATTGCTCTAACATTTTGGGAATAATTGTCTCATTTAAAAGATTTAAAAGTTATTTTACTATACAAAGAAGTTATTTATTTATTAAGATTATTAAATCAAAATATCATAATTTATTCTTGTGTTATACACGTTTTTATTGTTAATTTCACGTTGTATACGAGACACACTCATACAGCTCTAGTTGGCAGGTTTTCTCGCATTTCCTCTAATAGAAAACTGGAATAAATTTTCCTTTATGCTCATTTTCATCCCCTATAAAGCACGTCGTTTTAATTTGCTCTAGAGGCGGCTGTTCGCCACCTGAATCGTTTTAATTTAAATTTTCCTCAAAATTCTCCTATAAGTTTTCACCATTTTAATATCTCAGGATTTTAGGTCAATTATGGCTGAGACAAGAAAGACATTTAAGCTGCGAATGGTAATTGAAAATTTGTTTTAATAATCTAGATTTTTACTAATTGCTTGAATGCATAGACTTCGATAAGCAAAGACAGAAAGGCTGTCAAAATGGGCCTTCTAAAACCTAACAAATATCTAAAGCTGATGGAATTGACGGTCAAAGCCATCTGCATTTTGCCGCCGAATGAAAAGAAACGGCAGAAAACGAGTTATCAACTCAAGGGAGGAGAGTTTTGAGGGTCAGATCCTCATAATAAAAATTGACCTCAAATCCATGGAGGTAATAGAGAAAAGAGAGATTTATTCTCTATTATAGATCCGGGGAAAACACATCAGATCTAAGCAGAGACTAGATTAAAGAGGTAGAGAAGACTGATCCTCCAGCTTGACACCTCAAGGGTATCTCAGCCGGAGACAAGCTTCTAGTAGGAGGTAGTGATGCACTCTCTCTGAGGAGGAACATCTGTTGTCAGAGAAAGATGGGGAATTACCCTATCCCTCGTACAACAGGAAGATCGTTTTGTATGATGAGTTATAGACTTTATGATGAGTGACTCAAGAAAGGGGGACACAATAAATCTTTAAGGTCGCAGTGATTAACTCACCTTCTGCTCATTAACATACTTAAAGAAAAGTAATATAAATGATAAAGATTAACTACATATATAACCCTTAATCCAGTAATATTACGATTTAAACCTCGACAAAATTCAAGAAAAGTTTTGAATATTGGTAGGTATGTTGGGGATAGCATGAGGATTACTAAACCGAAAAGTTCCCACCCCTAAATAGGGTGCGTCATCCCCCAGGACATTGTTTCTACCCCCATTTTGAGTTTTTTTAGATAATCTCGGTAACGGTGCATTTCTCGACAAAAATACCTTGTAAAATTGTATTAGGCCTACAGGGGATACCACTTTAAAAAAAACGCATCAAATACTCTACCTCTAGGGTGATGTGGAAATAAGTACAAATCACCCTGTTTATAGGGGTACAGGAGTGTGAGAGAAGAACGTATATTAAAATTCTAAGTATAATTTAGTGGTTACTGTTTTTTGTTAGCGTTAAACATTAAACTTTAAATTAGATTGAACTGCAGATAGTGCTAGTCATAACCAACCCTTATATTTGTGCCCTATTTGCCACTTTATTATTAACTTTTAGAAAAAAAGTGTATTTATCTTTTTAATAGAGAATTTTATGAAGAAAAATTTTCTGTACAGGTATTTTTGTCGAGAATTGCACCGTTGCCGAGATTATCTAAAAAACTCAAAATGGGGGTAGAAACGATGTCCTGGGGGATGACGCACACTATTTAGGGGTGGGAACTTTTCACTTTATTAATACATATGATGTCCTGATTATTTCCACCAATTTTGAAAACTTTATGAATTTTGTCGGATATATCGCAATTTGAGCCATAATATTACTGAACTACCTTTAAGTAACTACATAAAATATAAACTGATCTTGTTAAAGAATGTATTTTTAGTGTGTGAAATCCGTCCCGTTGTTTTCCACCCTACCAGTTTAAAATCGTTTTCACAGGCACTTGGCTGTTTAAAATTTAACACTTGGAGAGGACCTTTTCGGACAAGGAAATCATTTATCTCGAGCTTGCGGAAGATATATCGCACAGTGGCTGATGTTTTACGGTAATAAATAGATTTTCCGAAAAAAAGGTTCTTTTGTTGGATACGATTTTTATGCTACGTCATTACTCTAGCATTCAAGAAAATAAATAATGTAGAAATATTTAAAAGTCATAATTTTCTTTTAGTTTAAAAATTAAAGATTAAAAATTTAATTCTTTTAATTTTTAAAAATACTAGAATTAGCTAAGTTCTTCAAATTTTTGTATTTTTTACAACGTAATATACAGGGTTGTTCATCACATACGATACGGAATATTGTAGCTAAACGATTAGATTTTTACAAATTGTAAGTTTTGGGTTCGCTGAAGGACTATTAGAGCTACAATTTAAAAATATTTTTACAAGATACAGAGTGTCCCAAATAAATAAAAAATATCAAAGTTGCATTTTTTTAAATGGAACACCCTCTATTTATTTACTTATTACATTTTTAGTTTCTACGATTAAAATAAAGGTAAAATTGATAAAGGTTTATTACACTTAAACCAATTACACTTACCGTTTTTGAAATATTTTCAATTTTGTGAAATTGCAGTCAAAATTTTAAGGCTTAATTTCTCCAAGGGTATCAAAGTTTTTAATACTAAATATTTACTGAAGTTTTTTTATTTATTGATCAGTTATTGTGTTGCAATAGTAAAAATTATACTACTTTATACAGAGTGTCTAAAATTGTATTTTAAATAATTACTAGCTTTAAACGGCAATAACTTGTTTAATTTAAATGGAACACCCTGTATATTTTATGAGAATTATATGCACAATTTAAATGTCTATCAAATTGTATTATACCATTTTTACCTATCTCTTCAAGTTTCCGTATAAAATGCATTTCCTTGTAATTTTAAATTCATTTATCAATATACCCATGGAATACTGACATTTTAGATTATTTTTAAAGATGTACTAAATTTTAAAGAGTACAGGTATCACATTGTCGATATAGTTTGTTTTATTTCATTAAAAAATTAAAAAAACTGTTTAAATATTTGTTAAAAAGAGGACCAATTAATATGATTCCAGTATTCAAACTACATTAGTTGACCGTTTGCGTTGATTAATAATAATTGCTCCAAATACTAAAATAAAATAAGTGTGTAAAAAGTAACATCTAAAAATGATATTTCATTTTTTGACAAATGCTTATTTATAACAACAGAGACATTCATTTTCATAACTTATTATTATATTGATTTTTGATTCAAATCCACATTGATTTAGAATAATTTATTAACAAACATAATTAAGTATGTAATTAATTAGTATTTGTGCGGAAATAAGGGTGGTATATTTAATTAATGGTATACGCTTTTATAAAGATTTAAATAGTTTTCTTTTTGCATACAAATGGGCTAGTAATATTATCATTTTGCTAAAAACGATAATAATACTAGCCTGTACATTTTGTACATTTGTTGCTTTAAAAACAATCTAAAATGTCAATATTCCATGGGTATATAGTCCATGATAAATAAGGTCTAAATTATAAGAAAATGCATTTTCTACGAAAACTTGAAGGGATAGGTAAAAAGTGGTATAATTCAATTTGATAGACAATTAAATTATGCATCTGATTCTCCTAAAATATACAGGGCGTTTCATTTAAATTAAACAAGTTATTGCCGTTTAAAGCTAGAAATAATTTAAAATAGATTTTTAGACACTCTGTATGAGATAGTATTATTTTTATTATTGCAACACAATAACTGATCATTAAATAGACATCAGTAAATATTTAGAATTAAAAATTTTGATACACCCTTGGAGAAATGAAGCATTAAAATTTTGACTGCAATTTCACAAAATTGAATATATTTCAAAAACGGCAAGGTTTAAGTGTAATAAACCTTAATCAAATTTACCTTTATTTTAATCGTAGAAACTAAAAATGTAATAATATAGAGGGTGTTCCATTTGAAAAAATACAACTTTGATATTTTTTATTTATTTAGGACACTCTGTATCTTGTAAAAATATTTTTAAATTGTACCTCTAATAGTCCTTCATCGAACCCAAAACTTACAATTTGTAAAAATCTCGTCGTTTAGCTACAATACTCCGTGTCGTATGTGGTGAACAACCCTGTATAATCATTAATACCGTATGATCGAGAAAAAACGGCGTCAGCGATGGCTATGGAATGAAGATCGCTGTCATTTTATATGTTAATTTATATGGGAAATGTCATCGATGTTCATCATACGGTATATTCTAATAAATATCTGTTAATTCTCTTAAACCTTAGTTAATAATAAAAAGAAAATATTAAAAATATCTATTTTGTGTGTGAAATGTAAAACATTTGTCAATTGATAAGAACAATAATTGACAAAACACTGATGTTCCTGTAAAATTTAAAAAACCTGCGGAAAATTAGCAGAAAGAAAAATATGAAAACAATACTAGTGGAGGAAATAGGTGAGGAAAATAAGTGAAACAAATGAAATTAAAGGTTGAAAAAGGTAGTAAAAGTGCATAATATAACAATAATCTAAAGTAAAATTATTTAGTATTTAAAATATATCAACACTCACCCAGTTCTTGCAAAGTTGGCAATGAATATTATAAACGATTCCGAAAGAGCTAACTCAGATCTAGTATAGTTCTTTGGAAAATGATTGAAGCCATCCACTAATGGAGCACCGAACATATAAGGTAGCTCTTCCCCATGGGCAGTACCCATTCTCTGAAAAGAAAAAGAAAATTATTATAATGAATCTTTAACATTGCTGTTGAGGAAGAAAAATATAACTTTTTATCTGTAAAAATAAATGCAAACTGTGACTTTGAATTTAAAATATGATTTGTCTTGGATTAATAAATAATAAAAGGTTCTTAGATATTTTACGACTAACTTTACTGAAGAGTATCAATAAAGAAACTTTTATAAAATTATTATCATTAAATGAATCATTATTTTATTGACCTCCTTGTTAGCTACATTTGAGCCAATTAGATTCACGTTTTCGTCAAAAATACGAATTTTATTGATTGGCTTTGTGTTGTTGTGACGCCCTTGACATTTCCGCTACGTTATTAATCATTGTGTCGGCTCAGATTATGACAGCGTACATTTATCACCCATAAAGACGTTTTCGACAGTAAATATTTATGGATTCTTAATCGGGTTTTGTTACTCTAACTGGAACACTACAGTTTCTTTGTTAGTCCGCTCAGTATAAATAAATTTATACTACGTTAATTACTGTCTAAATTTGTCTTGCTAGCTCACAAGGTCGACTTTCTGAATAAACATGAGCGCCGATATATGGCCTGTTTTAAGTAACACTAGTAAGACGAAGAACCGTTATCTAACTACTAACTTTAAATTGTATCTATATTTTAATACAAAAACGGGAATAGTATTTTTTTTAAAAACGGGAATAATAATCTATACATTAAGTTATCAAGGTGTTGCTTGTGACTTGTTTACCGAAGCCGGTGGAAAAAAGCGTTGATGATAATGTTCTGCAAAGAAATCTTCTTAAAAGCGTTTGTATAATATAATTTAGTAATTTTGTGTCATATCATCAATTATTTTGTTTTCTCTTAATGCTTGCTTAGTTGGGTTAAAAAAACGGCATCAAAGACGAATGGGGAATGACAATCGATGATAATTTTGGTGAGGTCTATCTCTAGACGTCATTTAGTATAAATGAACATAAAACTTTTCAAAAATTGATACGAAATATAGCCAGACTAAGAAATGAATGCTTCCAGACACACAAATCTATTTCCAAAAAAATTTTCGAATTTTAAGCTGTATCCATTCCACTTAAAAACCATTTTTACACAATATATAAAATTTGGAAAACGCATTGAGCTTTTGCTAGAGAATTGTTTACCAAAACCAATTGTAGCGTTTTTTTATAAGCATTACCACTGCGAACGGCAGCTTTTCATCGGAGAGCAGTCGTGGATAAGGTGTTTCACTAGAGAGAAAAACTAATCAATAACAATAAACAAAAATATAGATATTGGGCGCCAGGCATGTACAGAGAAAGAAAACGCAGTTGTATATTACTTAAAACTAATGACTATATTTATTCATGATGGACTGTGATGGTAAATAGCATTGTACAATTTTAATAATTATTATAGTGGTTATATGTCAACGAAAGTGGTGTTAAGAATTGTACTAAATATCTATGAAAACAACTATGATAAAATACAAGACATGTAAAGTTTAAGAGAATATATGAAATGTAGCATTACTTTTATATGATGTTAGTGCAATAATAATATCTATAAAAAAGTAATACTATTACAAGGCGTAATGTAATGAAACATTCTGTACGATATCGTTTAAAATGTACATTAAATTAAGACTGAAAATTGACTGAAAATCAGAACCTAAATCTAGACTTAGCTGTTCTTGAGGCAATCCTGTTTCGAAGAGTAGCAGCGTGAGGTGGGTCATATCTCTGCACTGTCTCTCGGCTATCCTGTTGGCCAATACAACAAAAGGGGCCAGAATGAGTACACCATGAATCAATACAGCCGTAACTACTGACTAGACTGAGAAATGGGAGCGAAGCAGCATGGGGCTTACGCTGTATCCATACTGTGGCAATATGGGGACACTACCCGTACCTTGGAACACTACTAGGACCTTGGATAATGTCCGTAACTTGGACCATAACTAGTCCGTACCTTGGACCCTAAAAATACGAAACTCTTGTTTAAAATCAAACAAGGTCTAATAAACAAAATGAACCTACCTCGAATTACTTCCGAGGGCTCACTAATAAACAAAGAAACTGTCCTTTCTTTCATGTAACATTCTGGAGGGCAAAAGAAAAGGGACGCCAACGTGCCAGCAAAATACAAATACAAGTTAAGTTGGGACATACAAAACTCTAAAAATATGCAGTATAATATCGAATCTAAAGGAGAAGATCCTTACCAGTTAAGAAATAGCAGCTGATTCAGATTATACAGCAAGATTTAAATAATCACCATTTTTAAAAGCCGGGATGGTTAGGTTAGGCTACAGAGCGCTAAAAGCAAAAGTCAGTCGACAGCACAGAGAGTTGACAGAAGCGATGTTGACAGCGCCTCCACAGAGCGATAACAGGGTTGGCGACTAGGGAACGTAAAAATTACGCCAAGTGCGTCAATTAAATTATCCGGCTTGAACGATAGGGAATCCGGTGATGATACGCCAGACATCATATATCATATACAAAGGCATGTAACGAACTAAAAACGTTACACAATTAAGGAGGGTGTTGACATAATGTCCATGAACGTCATATCTATGTTTTTACGTGTTTCAGCTCAGTAAAAGTAAATATAGAGCGTGATAGTTATCCGCCTAAAGTGTAAGTATGCTACTGTAAACTGTAAATGTCGTTTTCTGGGTGTTTTTTCCAAACATTTAATTGCATTTTCATGCAAATCGCTATCAAAACTGCATTTTATACGGCTCCAGCAAATAAACAGAACACATTTCTAATAAAGTTTCGGTTAAGCTATTGCGACATTAAAAACTGCTTTATTTCCATTTTGCGTCATAGACGGGGCAGGGCAATGGAACTGATTGCCCTAATTTCGTTTAATGCATCACGCTAACATCGCGGACCCGTTACCGAACTTATTCTCGCCAAAATGCACATTCGCTTAACGACACAAACTCAATCACCCGCCGATGTGATCCTCGAAACGTACCTTTTTGAAATTTACTGGGAAGTTACTTCCTGAGGGAAGTAAGCTTTTACTTTACTACCTTTTTCTACTTTTTTTGCTAAACCGTTTTTCGTACAAGAGTGCAATTTGGAAAATAAATTGAGCACTTTTAGTCAAATAATTTTCTTACATTATGTTCAAATTGAAAGTTTTTTTGTTGAATTTAATATTAATTTGTATTTTAAATTTCTTTATAGATTAAAAAAAACCTAAAGTATTTTAAGTTAAGGTCTTTGCTAAGGTTAATGTGCTAATCTGCTAAGGCTAATCCATATTATTAGTCTTCCATACACCAGAAAGTCCGTCAGCGGATTAAAACTCAAAAAGAGGGTTTTGTTTGTTGCAATTATTTTGTTAGTTTACCTAGTAAAAACTAAAACTACAAATAATAAATGTCAATCATATCACAGTATATTATGAAATGGGTAAATACGTTGGGCAAATAGGATTGTAGGTAGTTCTGAAAATTATATTAGGTAAATAAATTCTAAAAATATTTAATTATATTAATTCATTTAATTTATAATTATTTAGTTTAAGTTACATTAAAAAGTTTTTGCTTTGTTTTATAAACATAGTCTTAAACAAATAGAATGTAGAATGGGCAAGCACTACAGCCACCTTAAAGATCTATTGTGTTTCCTTTTTCTTGAGCTATACTCATCGTACAGTCTATAACTCATCATGCATGGGGATTTTCCTGTTGAGGGGGTAATTCCCATTTTCCTCTGACAACAGCTGTTCATCCTCCGAGGAGTGGACATCTACCTCCTACTAGAAGCTTGTCTCCGGCTGAGATACACTTGAGGTGTCAAGCTGGAAGATCAGTCTCCATTTTCTCCACCTCTTTAACTTGGTCTCTCTTTAGACCTGATACCAGTATCTCTCTTTCTCTATTACCTCCTTGCAACAAGATATCCTCCTCTAACCACAGATATTCATTCAAGGGTATACAACCTCCCACGGTTGGGGTTTAGCTGTCTGTCTCCTCACAGTCAAGGAGCTTGTCTCTGGCTAAGGCACCCGTGAGGTGGAGGCTAGAGGATTAGTCATTTTTTCCACCTCCTTAACTTTGTCTCTTCTTAGACCTGATACCGGTGTTGTCCCGAATCTATAATAGACGACATAGTTTTCTTTCTCTATTGCCTCCTTGGATTTGAGCTCAATTCCTATTGTGGGACCTGACAGCGAGATGCTCCTAAGACCCAGCAAATTGCTAGAAAGGATTCCCCCTAGCACCTGACTACCCAGTGAGCAAAGTTTTGTCACATTTAGGGAACATTAGGGAACAGTTACGTATCTGCGTTTTATTGCTTTATAGCAGGCAAAAGATGGACCTGGAAACAACGACATCGCCTAGAACGCATTTCTCTTAAAGGAATAAAATGCTCACTGGGTAGGAGCTTCCCCACCAACGATAAGGTCTCTTAGGTATCTCATATAGGAAGACACAAGTAGAAGATTTGCCATGCACCTAACTAAAGAAGTAGAAGAATAACCATTTAAAAAAATCCGAAATGAATTTATAAAATCTGAAATTACAATAATTTCATTACACCCTTAAGGAACATATATTTACAACACAATACCACATAGCTCTATGTATTCCACTTTCTTATTTACCCTAAAATTCAAACGCACACGCAGAGAGGGTTAGGCGTGGGTAGAGTTACATGTAGATCGATCCGATGTAACAATATTGTTCAATCAAACCGCCGGTAGGGCGGGATACTGTTAATTACGCCCGGTAAAAACCGCTTTCTAATGAAGCGAAAGCGAGATAACTAATTAGGGAAAGTTTACCCAATCTTTACCATATAACTAAATTGTTTAACCTGAAATTTGAACGCGCGATGAAGATTTGATTATAAACTCTCCCTCTCATATTTCTAGTCTAATAGATTTTCACTAGATTACACTGGGAGTTTTATTGATTATGTTAGATAATTTAGAGGTTGATTATTCAGACAATTTTATATAAAATGTCAATAATATAAA